GAATGATCCCGAGGATGGAGCTTTACAGCTCCACTGGAAGATGTCTGATTATTCAGGACACCCTGTAAAGCTGCATGAAGAGGTCTCTGTTCATACTTTGGGACGTGATTTTTAGAGTTGCTTCAAACTCTAAAAATGAAAATAAGTGCAAATGTGAAAGCTAAAATGTCTGCTGTAGCTGGCCATCAATACCTCATACTCTTACCCTTCTGCTTCTAGATTTTAAAGACAAGCTCCTCCAGACCCGCTATACATGATTAAAGCATATCAGTGTGTCAGCATATAGATTTTTGTCAGTATAGTGAGCACCTGAGACCAGACTTTTAATGGGTGTTGCACTCTAGGATTGTCACTGTAAAAGTCTGTTCAGGAGTGATGTGAGAGACGTCTGCCTGCAGGACACGTGTTCAATCCACAGCCAAATGGCCATTTTCATCTGGGTTAGTGCCAGGAAATCAACCACGACACAAAAATAATGTATTCATATATCAGTATAGTAGAATTCAGACTGGGGGAAACCCAAGCCACCTTCTTGTTTCCTGAAAAGCTCAAAAAAGTCAAAATGTGAGCGTGAGCCTCCTGCAGAGTGCCCTCCTTGGTCTCCTCTCAGTATCAGCAGTTTACTGGAGTATAAAGACTGTTTTTAATAACATATGGCAAACTTAAAGGCAGGTCTTCTCACTTGTCACACCCAGGTGGTGTTCTAGTTCAGCAGTGTGCTGCAGATTTGTCTTTTTGTTGTAAGGAACGTTTAAATAAATTCCCAAAGCATCGCAAGCAAAACTGAATATCTCTAACTGTTTTGCTGCCTCGAAGAAGTCTGTGCATGAAGTCCACGCAAAATTTATTTTAAAGACCTAAAACTAAAATACTGTAGATCTGCAATACATCAATAAAAATAACAAAAATGACTAAGATTAAAAAGCTTTTGGCTCCTGAAGTTGAATCTTGAAGGTTTTACATCGATAAAAGAAGGATAGAGAGAGAGAGCAAATGTCCACAGATCCTTTCTTGCAGTGCACTGGGATGACGTCTTTCACTCAGATTTCAAACTTGACGTCGTTATTTTGTTTTACAGCGACTCTCATTAAGGATTTCTTCTAAAGACGTTGGCTGAAATCACCTCCTCCTGTCTGACTGCAGCTAGAATCGACCACATGCTGGCCGAGCTCTGGCCATTCAGTCGGCATCACATCTTTCTCTTTCTTTCCCTCTGCTTCTTTACGCCACTGCCTCTATTCAGCATCCAGTTTCCATGGCAACAGGTTCTTTATGGTGCTGCATCTCTAAAAAGCAGCTGAGCTAATGGCCAAGCACCGCTTCATCTTGTTTCAATAATCGTTACATATGCTGAGGGTCTGTTTGTGCGTCAGTTCGACGCACAATTGCATCTCATCGGAGGATTTCCAAAAGTATGTGGACAGTGGATCACATGTGACCCTGCTGCAGAGATTTCCACCCGTTCGGAGCAGGATGTTTCTGTTCTGGCACAACCTTTTATCTCCCAAATGAAAGATTTCTTTCTAAGATTATTCAATTATTTGTTTAATAGTAAGAACCGTGTAGAG